CTTGGCCCAAAAAAACAAAAAAATTGAAAATTTTTTTTTTTAAAATAAATATTATCATTTTTTTTTTTTTTCTCCCCCCCCCCCAGGGCAAAGATATGGCTTGCCATCTTTTTTTAAAAAAAAATTAAAATCAGATTAAATATTAGTTGGGATTTAAAGGTCCTAGAGAATTTTCCCCTAAATTGGGTCTACTCCAGATGGTTTATAGTCCACTTCCAATACTCCTCACCCAATGTGGTGAATTACATCCATCATGTGGGGAAGCAATTTAAACAGAAATTCATTCCATACCAGGCTTACTCCTCTCTTTGTCAAGAACTGGCCCAGTCTCTTGGCACGACCACCGAAAAATTTCCCCAAAGCACTGATCCACGTTAAGCAGAGCGGAACGCCAAAAAGTCCATAAAATATACAGAAAAGTCGCCCAGCTGAAGTTTTTGGAGCAACATTTCCATAACCTGAAAGAATATTGTGATAAAAAGTTAGCCATGCTGGGAGAGTCATGTTTGGTAAGAGGTGTAATTTCTCTTTTATCATCAGATGCTTGGAAAATTATAGAAGTTATTCACAGATGATATCAGGTGTTCTGATTTTGGATTTGCTTCTATCATGTAAAACATGGTCATTTAGGATTTATGACTAATAGCATCACTGATATCTACAGTATCACACAGTTGGGAATATTTATAGCAAGGGATAAAAGAGTGTTGACCTGAACAAAGAATTCGATTATTTATCTTGTAAATTACAGAAGCATTTTTTCTTTAAAAAAGGGCTTCTAGCTCTGAAGATTCTTTTGAAAATGAAAATGAAAGAGTGACATTTCAGACAGTAGTCAATAAACCTGCACCTGCAAGATGCTGACTGAAGCATTCCTGCTTTTCTCTCTACCTTCTGTAGATTTCATAGACTCTTCTTGTTTGAGTACTGGCCCAGTACTACCAGCTTCTCAGTGAAAACTTCTAATTGTTCCACAATGCATCAAACTGGAGGGAAATGACCTATCACAATGGACCCCAATTTACAGTATATTATATTGTTTTATTATATTGTTTCAGATTCTCTCAACAACTTCTCGGCAAAAGAGAGAAACAGGACTTAGGCAAAATGAAAATAAGCTAAGAAAGAGCCTTGGGATCAGAGTGACCATTTATTATTAAGAGATTGATTATGAGCCATCAAGTCAGTGTGGACTCTTAGCAGTCACATAAATAGATTTTCTCCATGATGATCTGTCCCTAACCTGGTCTATCAGGTCTCCCTATGGTGACTCATTGCCACTGTAACTGACTTTATCCACCTTGCTGCTGACTGTCCTCTTCTCTTTCCTTCCACCATTCTCAGCATTATGACTTTCTCCAGAGACCTAGGTCTTTGCATAATGTATCCCAAGTAGGATAATTTGAACCTGGTCATTTGTGCCTCAAGTGAGAACTCTGGGTTGATTTGTTCAATGATTTGTGCCTTGGATAATTTGAACCTGGTCATTTGTGCCTCAAGTGAGAACTCTGGGTTGATTTGTTCAATGATTTGTGCCTTGGATAATTTGAACCTGGTCATTTGTGCCTCAAGTGAGAACTCTGGGTTGATTTGTTCAATGATTTGTGCCTTGGATAATTTGAACCTGGTCATTTGTGCCTCAAGTGAGAACTCTGGGTTGATTTGTTCAATGATTTGTGCCTTGAGTGAGAACTCTAGGCTGATTTGTTCAATTATCTATTTGTTTTGCAGCATCTGAGTATGTTTTCCAAGGCCTTCACGGCTGCTTTACCAAGTGCTAATCTGTGACATATTTCTTGACTACTTGTTCCTTTATTATTGAAGGTTGATCCTAAAAGGCAGAAGGTACTGCCACTTCAATATCTTCACAGTCAATTCTAAGGCTAGTTATTCTACCTGTTGTCATTAGTTTAGTCTTCTTTATATTTAATTTTAGTCCCATTTTTTCACTATGCTCCTTAACTTTTATTACTAGAGCTTGCAGATCCTTTGCACTTTCAGCTATCAGGGTAGTGTCATCAGCATAGTACAAGTTATTGATGTTTCTTCCCCCAATTTTACAACCATGATCATCTTCTTCCAAACCAGCTTCCCTTAATATACATTCAGCATATAGGTTAAATAAATAAGGGGAGAGTATACAATCTTGCCTCACTCCTTTGCCAACCTGGAGCCAATCTGTTGCTTCCTGACCTGTATAAAGGTTTCTCATGAGGACAATGGAATGTCCTGGGATTCCCATTGTTCTAAGCACATTCCACAACTTGACATGATTGATACAATCAAAAGCATTTCTATAATCAATGAAGCACATGACGACTTGTTTTTTGTATGTACTTTGGCTTTCTCAATTATCCAGCGTGCATCAGCAATAACATCTCATATTCCTTGGTCTTTTCTAAAGCCAGTTGAACATCTGGCATCTCCTTTTCCATATAGTGCTCTAATCTCCATTGGATGGTCCTAAGCATTATTTTGCTATAGCATGTGAAATTAAGGCTATTGTATGATAGTTTACACACTGTTAAATCTCTTTGGGGGGTATTGGAATGTAGATTGACCTCTTCTAGTCAGTTAGCCACTGTGTCATCCTCCAGATTTGCTGGCATAGCTTGGTTAGAACCTTGACTGCTTCTTCTTCTGTTGCTTGCCATATTTCAGTGGGTATTCCATCAGTTCCTGTAGCCTTCCAACTCGGTAATGACCAGAGTGCAGATATAACTTCACCTTCTAGTAATTATTAGGAGGCACAGAATATAAAAATGTTGTTTTGGTTTCCTTGAGTTGTTAATGGGAAGTCTTGGAAGAGAGGAACTGTCGCATATATTTCAAATTGATTTTAATAATAGTAACAAATGAAACATGGTACTTTATTTGATTTAGCAGCAAGGTTTCTAATTCCCCTCTCCCACTTTCCCTGCCCAGTCTGTTTTCCAGCACTATGTGTGTCCTGCATCAGAACAAACAAATTGTGACTCTTTTTTGTTTTTTCTGTATCTTACAGGGATAGCACAAAAGCAAACCAGAAAAAAATGTCATCCAACAGTTCCGTTATCATATTTATTCTGCAGTTTTTCCATCAAAGTCAGCAACATCTTGATACAGCAAGGAAAACATTTCTTCCTAGGGTATTGTAAAACCACCATCTTCAAATACATAGCTTCTGAAAAGTAATCTGCTCACAAAACAAATGGCTATATATTTAGGAGGAGAAGCATATGGATTGAGAGGTCTAATTATGAGGCACTTCTATGGAAGAAAAATATTGCCATAAAAACCTCTATCTTGCCCTGTGCTTATACTGCTTTCTTTCCCTACGTTTTCCATAGTAGATTGATTCAAAGTTAGTCAACAGAGAAGCTGTTCCTACTAGGGAAGGTGATTATACCTGCGTCTCTAAATTGCTGATCTTAAAAAGACAAAGAGAGTTTGAGATCTAGAGCAGTGTTCCTCAACCTTGTCAGCTTGGAGATATGTGGACTTCAACTCCCAGAATTCCCCAGCCAGCATGGCTGGCTGGGGAATTC